CAAATGAATTAAAAATTTATTTAATGGGAAATGACAATTATAACCTTAATGAATCATGATAATTACTATAATACCTTGACACATGTTGTCATACCCCAATTTAGAGGCTAAATTTTTCTTAATTTAAAGTATATGATTAAATTCATAATAAGGGAGAAGTTAGAGGACTTATGGTGTAATTTTACCATTTTTACAATCAAGTCACATTTTCTCATTTTATTAACTTTTCTCTCTATCTCTTTATTTTCTTTTTTCTCTCCCATAGAAGCTTTTACCATTATTTTGTCACTATCGAGCCTCCGTTCACGACACTACCAGAACCATCGTGTTCTTGGTGTGGAGAGTAGTCGACCGATGCTTGAGTTATCACTGGCAATCGTGACTTGAAAGGGGTGAGCGAAATCACGTTTCGATAGGGGTAAAAAAGTCTTACCTCTGTCTATCTTTGTTGCACAATAAGGCTGGTATGATGTTTAAAATGTAAAAATTTCAAATATAGAGAGTTTGGTTGTCGTCTAGCCATCATAGACAGCCCCACTCACCCCAAACACCGCAACCTGCATGTGGGCTTTGTTTGCAGCTTAAGGAGTTTCCAGAATCGGTCTGGACCTCTCCAGACCGCTCGAACCAGTCCAAACCTCCTGAGCTGAGTTGAATCAGTCCAATCGAGCCATAAGTTGAGTCGTCCATACGAGTCGAGCTAAGGCACGATTCGAGCAGTGTGGTTGAATTGAGCTGTTGACCGACCATTGATCGACCATTGACTGACGCTGACCGAGCGTTGACTTTTTCGGGACCACCTATCCTAATATTTTTCAATGTCCTGAGTCTATTTTTGGGGTCTGTTTTGCAAAATTCAAACCCAATAAGCTATTTTTCAGCAATTTATTTTTTGATTCAATTTGTTTTTCCTAATCAAGATATGTTTTGATGTATTTGTTATGTGTCCGATATATTATTGGACGTCAAATACATGTCTGAGGGCGATCAAACGAAGTTAAAATAATTGATCGATGTGGCTCGTAAATTGTTGATTAAAATAATTGATCTAGTATAGCTATTGACATCAGTAATGGGAGTTCTTTCGGTATTGCTTGCAAAGTATGATACTTGTACGATTAGGGGGCATGTGGGGGCATAGTCTGTTTTCATATTAGAGTATGAAATTTGTTTTGATAGTGTATATTATTAAATTCTGTTTTATCGTCATAATGATTCTTGAACTTTTATTTCATTTATAAATTATTTATGCTCTGAAATAGGTTAAGAAAATTTTATTTTTTCTCGATTTTTATGGTGGGTCGCTTCGGTGGCCTAATATGACACCTGAGATTGGATCGAGTGACCTTCATCGGTATGGGGGTGTTACACATGTTCATATTAATCAACCTATGTCAAATATGAACAAATAAATTCACACTTTCTAATTTTGTCCGTGCACTTTTCCAAAAGTTACAATCTTGCCTTTTCTATCCAACAATCCATAATTAACATGGAAAATAAAACTTAAATCCAATGATCCATGTGAAATTCCTTCATTTTAAAATGTACAAATAATATTTCTAACTTTAGTTTATTGTCCTTCAAAATTTTTCAAAAATCTGATTCGATCCGATTATCCGAATTTTTATCGGACTTTAAACTTTATAGCTTTTAATACAAAATCCAGATAAAAAAAATGATTCCCACAAAATCGTCAGTCTTGAGAGTGAACTATTCATTTACAGGGCAAAAGTACATAACTTTTTGAAAATTACACTTTGGTCCCTAAGCTTTTCAGAATTTATACTTTAGCCACTAAAATTTAAAAAATTACATTGTGGTCACTACCTAAACTTTTAGGGCATTACAATTGACCTATTATTAAATCATAACCTCTAAACGCCACTAATTCATCATTGTACTCTAGTACTCCGCTAAGGCTGCTCCGATGATATCATTGTTCCATCATATTCTAAAAACCTAAAAATTACGAACAAAAACACATTTTCGAACGCTAAGCTTGTAAGCCCCACGCCACATATAATCTCTATTATACTAAATGCATTCACCATATGTGTATGCTAGCAGGCATAGTCATGAAATAACAAAATGCATCAAGCATACAATCACAACAAAACCATCATGGTGTAGTGTGAGGTACATAATATCATGGCAATGCCGACTAGTATCAAAAGTTCCTTAGCACTGTACCAAAACTCCATATCATTGAACTAAAGTTCCTTAGCATTGATTTAGAATATATATGAATATTTCTCATGTAAATTAGACGTTCGTCATACATAAAAGGATGCCTATAGGCCACATACATCAATCAATGCCACACAAAGGAAATTAAGGTAATTTGGCTACTCATTATCATAGCTTATTACAATCAGGTGAGTTCATCCCCTCACTCACCATAAGCTTTCTCGTTATCTCATCTAGAATGTTATATAACAGTTTATTAGTCTTTTACAACTATTAATTCATTAGACCACCCTATTTTGGTAAATTAATACCCAAGGGTGTTTTGGACATTTCTACCTCTAAGAATGTCTTTTTAACATTTTATTCTCTTACGATAATAAATGCTATCGCTACCTATTTGATATATATATATATATATATATATATATATATATATATTATTACTCGCCCGACACTTGACTCGGGTTAATTATTGGATAGCAGCTCTTTAGTTACCCTTATGACACTTTTTGTAACACCTCTTTCCTGTATCTGTCACTACATACGAGTCAAAGATGTCACATCATACTTATAAAACATTTGAAGTTCGAAAATCAGCAAAACCTTTTTTGTTAAAAATTTATTCAATTTAACATTAATCAATAAAATGATTTAATCGCATAAAATCAAAAAGTGATATTTAAAAATATTTTTCGAATTTGATTTCAAGAAAAAATATGACAATTCAATACTATTTCATATACGGAGTAGAACTTCCTAATTCAAAGTTCATTCAGATAATAAATAAAATATAACTTAATAAACTATTAAGCATGCAATCTATTGTCTATACCTAGTAGGTGTCCATTATATATATATACAAACCAATTTTAAATCTATTCATATCAGAGCAAGAAAACATATAATTATATATGTCAACTAGTAATATCAAAACATCAAAAAAATGACATACTGGTACTGATGAGACAATCCTCGAATGATAATACCAACTAAACTCCTTACTCTGAATGCTTTCCTTTACCTACGCGTGAAACCATCACATGCTAAGTATACACTTAGTGAGGTATTATCATAAACAATGTAAGGCATATAGTTATATAAAATATAATATAAATTTAATACTTTAAAAATCTTATAATGATATGTAAACATATAAAATATACTTATTTAAGCTTTTCGTTTTTCTTACAAAACAACAGTTTACAAGTATCATATTTAACCAAATCAACCTGCATTTTTCAATTTCATATAAACCATAGCTCAATGTATATAAGATGCTAACACAAGATACGTGAGTCAGACGAATGTGCACAATATGCAGTTTAACAGTCACGTAGATAATATGCACCTTAGTGCCAAAAGTACACAAAAGTACTAATACAAGTACTGTAGAACACAACATCATGTATAGAAAATAAGGATGGTAGTTCACAATGTCCAAACATCATGAACCTCATAATGCACATATAGTGCGAGAAGTACACGAGTGTACTAAACAAAATCGATCGATAATCACTCCACCTCATGGCATGTCAATTGTACCAATAACTCTCAATACACATACAATGGATTTTATATCAAAATCACATAACTCTCATTCATCAGAAGTATCCGTAGATACTCATATACCAATATCATATAACGGTGCATTGGACAGTTGATACCTAAAATCAATCAAATATCATTTTGCCAAAATAGTATAAAAATATATCATAATACGAAATTAGGTCTTAACAAGTAAATGTTACTTGGTAATTGAGTTTATTTAACAAGTAAATATTTATTTTAGGTAAGAAGTATTATGAAATTAGATTTCTTAGTGACCAAATATTTAACTCTATAAATATGAAGTAAGTCTTAACCTTCAGCATTATGAGAATTATTTTGAAGAGATGAAATGTTCTTTGATATCTATGAAACTTTTAGGATTTTAGTTGTAAAGATGTTTTGTAGAGATGTTCGAGGAGTCTTTTGGGATACATCGAGTTTTTAAGATATATAAATGAGATACTTAGAATATCATGTATATGTATTATTTGTGATCTCTATATCTGGGATATGCCAAATCTTACGTTTATCGAGATTCATAACATAATTCTCCCACTTAAAAAGTTAAAAATTTTAAAAATTTTATTATTAAAATATATTTTTAAGATTTCTAATTCTCACCATATTTCTAGTAAAACATACTTTGAAAGTTTTTTTAGAATATAAAAAAATATTTTTTAGAAATAAAAAATAATTGTGAAAGATACGGAGTAGTATGAAATTTTAATTTGAATTATCTTGTACCTATTTTGGTCTTATTATAAAATGGGTAAACTACGTATGTAATTACCTAATTATCATTTTGATTCTATTATGGTTATTTAATTATTTATTTTTAAAAGCATCACAAATATTATATTTTCATTTTATTTTGGTCACTCGACAATAAAAAAATAGAATTATTGATGTGATATTTTGAATTTATTTTTTAACACTGATGTGGCATAGCCTTATGATAACACATCAATAACACTATTAATTTTTAAAGGTGGGTGACCAAAATAAAATCAAAATATAATATTAATAATAATTTAAAAAAATAATTGGGTAACCAAAACTTAACTAAAGTGGTAGTTAAGTGATTAAATAAGAAATTTATCTATATTAAATATACCTAAAAGATAAAAAAAAACTAGAGCTGTTCGATCAAAAACCAACGGTTGATCTCTTTCTCAACACGTCATTTCTAAAAATAAGCGCTGAGAGAAATTTAGACTATAAATAAAAGCTTTCATATCGGGCAAGCTATTGCGCTAATTTCTTCTTTGCTCCTTTCAACACGATTTGACTCAGCTCCCTTGTTGTTGAAAGGCCTTTTTTCCTCTCGTTGGTTTCGATGGCGTCTACTTTGAACCGAACCGGAGGCGATTCCTTCTACGGCGGTGCGGCTCCTTACCGTTCAAGGTCTAATTTTGATTTTATTGAATTTCTTTTGATTCAGTTTATTCATAATTAGAGAACCCAGCGTATTTAGAATTTATTAAGTTTCTTTTCTTCATTGGTTTTTCTGAGCCAATTTTAATTTGTTGTTAAATATTGAAATAGGGAGGGTTTAAGCACGAGACCGGTGGCTAGCTCCGATGAAATTCAATTGCGGATTGATCCGAGGCATGGTGATTTAGACGATGAGATCTCCTGTCTCCGTAGCCAAGTTAAACAATTGAGAAATGTAAGACCTTCTCATTTATTGGTTTATTTATTTTCTAATTTCATATTCTATGATTCTTTTGATATTCTTTGTCTGTTGGATGAAGTGCATAAAGGATCTTGGTGATAATGTGATATGATTTTCACCTTCCTTAGTTTGGCTTTAAGCTAAAATTTAAGTTTAATTATTCCTGGATAACTTTTGGTTTTCAGTAGATGTTGTGAATCGTGATAATATTATCATTGTTTATTTGGTCTATTTTTTTTCTTGAAAAGATATTGAAAATTAAATTTAAACCAATGTTTACAAATCTCAAACGTCATTTTGAATTGAGATAGACAACGCGTATAAGAATTTATCTCTATGGCATTTAGTCGTATTTTCCTTTTTCTGTTGGAGTAGTGTCGGTATTTTTATTTCTGATTTTGTAAGGACTTGTATCTTGATTTTTGAAGCGAACTTTGGCTTTAGTTTCTTTTACCTCTTTTATCGTTTGGAGGGAGGGTTATTTCCCCTCTATTCTCTCTACCTTTAACTCGCTAAATTGCGTTAATCTTAACTATGGGGCAGGTTGCTCAAGAAATAGGATCAGAAGCCAAATTTCAGAAGGACTTTCTAGATCAGCTGGTGTGTTATAGTTACATTTACCCTTTACATTTTTTGGTGGTTTCTTACATGCTGTGAATTATTTCTATGTTGTTTTTTTTTGCTTGAAAATGTGGAATGACCACCTTAGTTTATCATACATGTTATGGGTTTTACTATAATATTGCTACGTCCTACATGTTCTTGTATAGCAAAGTTAATTCTAGGGGGAATAAAATTTTGAACTCTTTGAACCATGGAAGTCTTGGAAAATAACCTGAAGAAGTGGGAAATAATTATTCTCGGGTTATCTGCCCTTGACATAGTTTTTTATCTTATGATTTCTATATTCTGTAAATAATAATGATAGGATCTTTATCTTCACCTAAACTTATCAGGAATAATTTTTCCTTCAGAGTTTATGTGGGTAGGAGATATCCTTTTTTTTTTCTATTCAGTTCATAATGTTGTATTATTTAAGTAATTTTTATGAGAGTAGCTGAACATAATGCATTCTGCTGTTCTTGATTCATCCGATCATTATTTACTTCCATCTCTCTGATTCTTTTGGTAGACAAGGAGGCAGGGTTCTGTTAGCCATTTAGTTGGTATCGCTAAGCCTTAATGTTAAGGATAATCAGGAAGCCTTTCTTGAGGATTAACCCCATCTTGATCTGAACTGTTGTTATTTACAGTGATATCTGTTTATCACCCCTGCTTTGTTAAGTACATGTATACACATGCATGCAAAATAAATTCTATCAGTTTATTGTCTTACATGGTGATTTTTTGTTGAGGATAACATGGAATTACTTGGTGCTTTGGCTGCCATTTGTGTTTGGGGGAAAAGATGCTTTTATCTTTTTGCTGCTTCCTGAATGTGTAATCTTAATTTATGGCAGCAAATGACAATGATTAAAGCTCAAGCAGGGGTAAAGAACAACATTAGGAAACTGAACAAGAGTATAATCAAGCATGGCTCTAACCATATTGTTCATGTGGTTCTTTTTGCACTGTTTTGCTTCTTTGTTGTCTATATGTGGTCCAAGGTGGCAAGAAGATGATGCTCGAGACTGCTGAATAGGTGTATGTGTCGATGGAAAAATAGTCTCAAAATGTCAAAGTTGCTCGGTTTCTGTAAAGGTGGTTGTGTGTTACTTTATGTTTCGTCAGCAGTATTGGCAAAAACATCGATTATAGGTTTCTTCTGTTATGCTGTGGTAAGAACGCTAGTTCTATTTTAACGAATGATTTGTATGATTCGTGCTGGGTATTTTATGCAACAATTGGGAGAGAGTGTCACATGAATTGTATCCTCCCCTAGTTTTATGCTTTATGTCCTCATGGAATGAGCCTGTAAATTTCAACATAAATTTCTATATTGTTATTTACTATTTAACATCTGAGCTTTAATAAAGGTAATTTAAATCCAAGTACACCAAGTATATTCAACCATGAATATTCCATTATCAATAACAGCTTATTTGTGTGAATAATGAAGGAAACTTCCATCTCCAATAATACCTGTACAACTTGGGAGAAAAATTTGATTCCGCAAGGAACTATTTACATCAATTCTACATACGAATTCTTACCAGGCTAATACAACTACTTGTTAATACAATTGGTTATGAATCCAAAAAGGTTTTGGGAGGAGATGACAGCATTATCAGTAAGATCGATGTTTCCATATATGATCATTCTAAATCCCCATCTCCAAACACAGAATGAAGATAATCATGTATGTTAGTCGTGTCAGCACGATCAAAAGTGTCTACAGAGGTGGTTAGCAGTCAAGTTAGATGAACACTGCAGCTTTATAGGTTGCGAGGGACTACAAATTCGGCTCCTATTTGGTTCAGAAACCCTCAAACGGGAAATCGTGACAGCAAGCACATCCACCATACCATTTTCATCGTGTTCCTCAGATTTGCAGTTTGAACTGTTTGACTAAAAGACCGACAGCGGATGTTGACTATGCGGGTGACCATCTATTCTCAACGCATTTTTGGACATAGTTCTATTGAGTTCTTCAACTTTGATTTCATGTATAATGTCCTTAATGAGTGCTCTGTGCAGAACAGTATCCACGTATGCCCTGGCATTTCACAATTCATAACAGTCAGAAAGAGAAACGCAAAAGCTAAGCCATTTCAAGAACTGATTTGAAATCCGAATATAAAATTATAACTAATTGTTGGCGGGGAAAGAATATAAACAAGATTCAGAAGCAATTCTAAGAAAGTAAAAATATGATAAAAGTAGATGAACGGACTACGTTTATGATGGCTAACGTACTTGAGACTTTACCTAGTACTTCAAAGTAATTTTCATTTGTGATAAACATTAGCAGCATACAAACACAACTCCACATCTCCAAACATTTTCATATTGAGTTTCAATATAATAAACAAAGTGAGAATTTATAAGATTCAAGGTAATTTTCTTCAAATTAGGTGGCAGATATTCAGCGTTGGAGATTCTCATGGCAAGACAAAAATCAGCTAGCTTTATCTTTCCTGAAGTTGTGAGGAGAATATTTTCAGGCTTTAAATCTCTATGCACAACTCCCATATAATGACAGTACTTAATGACTAACATCACATCTTTAAAAATATTAGCAGCACGATGCTCTGAATACTGTCCCTCTGCCATTTGGTCGATCAATCGACCTCCAGAGCACAATTCCATTACGAGATGCAAAGTCACAACCCCAGGATGATCAGATAAATGTTGCGTTATATCTACTTCTCTGTGAACTGTTTCCTCTCCTTTATGCAAGGTTTTACATGCAAACTCTACTCCACTAGTCCTAGACCTACACAAACAAACTAACCTGAATTTTCCCTGCCCTATCAGGTTACCTTACATAATCATCCTCAATCTTTTTCTTCCTAGCAATTTGTGTAATTACCTCAATGCACCCTATCTTCCTCTTAAGACCTCTTCCCGGAGGTACCAAAGAGGACGCACCACAAGGTGGGGCAGTGGCAGCGCCAGCAAGTCTACTTTTACATGAACCAATAGGATGTATATCCACGTCTTCTTTACCCCGTTTTCTAATCCTCGCATAATCTTCTAAGGAATAATGGGACCAAAAATTAGATAATCGGGAGTCACAAGTGGGTGCAAAATTGTTGGTTGCCTCCGGAGATACACTGCTTTCAATTCCCTTCCCCTTCTTTCTCATCAAGTCAATTATCAATCTAAACAAACTTATCTAAACCTAGATCTTAGGCACATTGACGTTTCAGGAAAAAGAGAAACGAAAACGAGAAATCCCCCCAATGATATTCTACTTTCCTTTCCTGTAAATCAAGAACGAAAACAAATGATTATAAAAATAATATACTATACAGTTATAAAAAAATTACTAATCCATAAAAAATGTGACTCAATTAAGCGAAGGAATTAAGAATCTGAAACATTTAATTAAAACGAAAAATACATTAAAAAGAAAAGAAGATCAAGATACCAAACGGGTCCTATTTGCTTTTTCAGTGGAATCTCATGGGGACCAGATATAACCTAATATCAAAATCCTACCATTTCTCCGATCATTCAAAATATTTCAACACAATCATAAAAAAACCCCAGAAAATTAAGCGCGAAGAACGAACCTGTAACCAAGTCCAGAAATTCCACGGACTCCAGGAAAAGGGAGACCCTGCTTTAAAAATGGAAAAGGAAGGAAGGAGGAGCGAAATTAGATAAGTTATAAAATTGGGAAAATCCCGGGAGGGAAATTCGGAGGATCAAATCGGAAAACCTAGAAATGTCCGGGCCAGTAGATTTGGGGTTCACCTCGTTTTATCTTATATATATTAAACTAGCGTTAAATCAAATGGAGTTGAGTTAAAAAATTAAATTATTCGAATTGACGAGTTTTATTTTATAATTTAGATTTGATTTAAAAAAATTCGATTCAAATCGAATTATAAAATTTGAGTCGAATAATTTTTCGAGTTTCTGTTCAAACTTAATTGTAAATATTTATAATATTATTTCATTCCAACGTTGACTTTATATAACCATATATACAATACAAATATAATTTTTTATATTTTTTCATACGTGATATACATATATCATACAAAGTCTAATGACTCGACTCAAACTTAAAAATAAATCCACAAAATACTTAAAATTTCTAGTTATTTAAGTTACTTTTTATAAATTGATTTGAACTTAAATTTTTTAATTTTTTCGAGTCGAGTTAATTTATTTTGAATTGAGTTCACTTGGCTGAGTTAACTCAGTAGGTTGATTTAGCGAGTTGACTCAATGGGTTGACTCGATTTCCAGAAAATTCAACGGGAACGAGGCTCATGCACATCGGTGGCGCGTGGTGGCGTGTGCAGCGAATAAAGGAGATGGGTTCGACAGCCGATAACTCCAAGAGGTACCAATGACCTAAAACAACTTAAATCAGCGTATATTACAACCCAAAACACGATAAAATAATCGGAAAAAAAAAGAAAATAGAATTTATGCTCGACGACGATGGAGAAGTGACGGCTGAAGGGGACAACATCGACTGGGTTTTGATCGAAACGGAGTAGGGAAGCAAAGGGTTGTGACGTTGTAGTCAATTGGCAAAGAGATCAGCAGAAAATAGCAAGAATCCGAAATGGGAGAAGGTTTTCAGATGAGCTTTCGAGGGCTCTCCACGGCAGACAGTAGGAAGGCTCAAAAATTGGTCACCTGAGTTTTGATCGAGACGAGGTGGCGCATCGACTAGTGCCGACGGTGGCCTAGATCAAAAATATGTTTCAAGTGATTCTTTCCTTATTTTACGGTATCAAGTTTCAAGGTTTGGTGGTTGGGGTTAGCATCGCGAGATGGCACCGAAGGAGTGATCGGGCAGATGATGGTGAGTTGGGGGGGGGGGAGAGAACACTAGGAGGTTGAGTTCAAACATGAAATGGTAATTAGATACACAACTAGAAAATGGAATTTTAATCGGTTTAAAAATAAGTTATTAATTCAATTCTATTATCTACAATAACTAGCCTAATTGACTAGGACTTGGGTGAACAATCCAGAGGGCACAGGTTCAATTCACTGTAACCACTTTTTTTCCTTTGCAGTAGAGAAGAGGGAAATGCAAGCTTGGGTCCCTGAACTTTTAGAAATTTCGAAAACAACCCTTAAATTTACCAATCTTCACACAATAGTCCCTGAAATTGAGGTAAATAATTTCAAATTAAAGACAACCGAAAATTAGGGGAGTGACACGACTATTCACCATTTTTGTACCTCTATATATTTTTTTATGCCCACCTCGATTATATTTTGGTGGCATGTGTTTTTACTGTTGTCTATATGTATCTATATTACCGATATTTTGTTCTAAGCATGTTTTCATACGTACTTCTAATGATATGTATATGTCTACCATTATATATTTCTTTATATTACCATTATTTGTATTTTATTCATTGAAATGGATCTTAGACTGTGGTTTAAATCTATACGACATGCGACATCCTAGATTAAGTCGTAATGTCAATGTGGGATCTAGGGGTTAGACTACGAGTAGATGCATCATCACTAGCTCGTCGCTGGTGTTGGTGGTGTTGCTGCCTAGAGAGGCTTACAGTTTGACAACTCTTCTTGCTAGGCTTGATGTACGTGCTCACTGCTAGGCTGGAACAACTAACTTAAGCTGGGCTAGAGCTTTTGTCTGGTTCATTGTTTTAAAAAGGGTTGTTGGGCCAGGTCACATTGTAAACGAGTTGGGCGTAGTGTAAAAATGAGTCGGTTCAGGGTATCCATTCAAGTGTCTCATGTAAACTTAAATGTTCATCATTCCCCGATAGAATTGGAGTTCCTTTCCCTCTTTCATCCCGATTAAAACCTCAATCCCGCAGAAATATCTTCTTCAAACTGGTGGTGTATAATAACCCAAATAAAATAACAATATTTTATTACTCAATCTTTAAAATCAAACATCAATCATTTAGCATATAATAATATATAATACATTTAAAAAATCAAATATATATATATATTATATTTATATATATACATATATATTTGGTAAACCATTTTTTATTTCCTTAATTCAATATTTGAAAGTAAATACGAAATACTCCCTCATTATAAAATAATTCATAAAATATTTGATATCATATTAGAAAATTAGATTTAATTAAAATTAATTGTTTAGACTTGGGCATAGGAATGGGAACGAGATCCGAGCTCCACATGTTCCGGCCCAACTCAACTTATTGGGTTGGATTTTTTTAAAAACATTTCAGGATCGAATTGGATTGGGTCGGGTTGGGGTGTTTAGTTTATATGTT